TTCAAGGGCTCAGCCCTTTTTTTTTTTTTTTCTTTCACGCTCACAACAGCTTTGTTTTCCAGAAGCTAGTGAACACAGGATACGATGAAATCAAACAAACCTCTCTGACTGCTTCTCCCAGGAAAACAGCCTATGGGGCAAGGACCCTACAAAGCCAGAAAGGAACTGCCAGGAAAACCAAAAGTCTCCCAGCAGTGACTTCCCCTCCAGCTAGGGGAGCCTATGCCATGTCTTCAGTAACAGAACAGTTTGTATCTCCCTCTTCATGTCACTGCACAGGTCAGGTACTTGAAGACGTTGCCAGATATCCTCTGTATGTTGCTTTCCAACAGTGTAGCCTAAGCGTAGGAGATACTAGAAACCAACACAGAGCAATACGCACTTCAGTACTGGTCTCCTTCCTTTCCCCTTCTCATCCTTGTCTCAGAGATACCCAGTTTGGGAACCTGCAGAGGATGCTGGTAAAGAACAAATAGGGCTTTAGGTTGCCAGAAAAGCCATGGGTTGGTGTCTTCTATTGGAAAATCACTTTGCCTTTTTTTTCTTAACAATTTCTTCTAAGTTTGGAGGATAGGGACCTGTCTTACGGGCTTACGTACTCTGAGTCCCAGCCGCTATGTGCTATGAAAGCCTTTTGGGAACAGAGCTGCCCACACCAACTGTCCAGAAGACAGAAAGAGAAATTTGTCCTCTCTCCTGGGAACCAGTGGTTCCCGGAACAAATGAACACTCACTTGGTTTGCTTTTGCTTAAACACAGATACAGGCTTGAATTGGTATTAGAGTGAAAACAAAAGCTGTTTGCTCTTTCATTATTAATCTTTAACAGGAACCTGAAAACAGCGGGCTGTGGGGATAATGCTCTAGCAGAGAGGGTGCGTTAGTCTGCCTCCAGGGTCTGAGATGGGCTGATGTATTTGAGTGTTGAGTCCTCGATCTCAGGGAGAAAAATATTGCTGCAGACTGTAGGAAAGGTATCTGGTTAGCCATATTTGCAAATAAACCCTCCAAGAAGAGACTGTAGATTTGCCGATCCTTTTTGGTTTTTTTTAGAGACCTGAATACAGTTCAGTCCTATAATGGGACTGTTAGAAGAATTAGTATTTTCTTCCTCAAATAGGAGATCTCAGAAGGGAAGGAGGGGTTTCTGTCTTTTACTGCATTCTATTTGGAGTCACTTTAGTTACTAGAGCTTGGTTTGCTTCCCAGGTTTTCAGGCTCCGTCACACTTAGGGCATTCCTACCGCAGCATCAGTGTTTAATTGCAGCATAGCAACTGTATATAAACTGTAACAAGGATGAAGTAACAGCAAGACAGACTTCCAGGAAGGCCAGTCAAATCTAGTCAGGGGCTTGAGCAAGCTTGTTAGACCACACTGCCGCGGCTTCACTGCTGCTGACGTCCCAAGTACTTGGTGCTAGATGAGTCTGCCTGTGCAGCATTCCCTGCTCCAATTGCATTTTAAATAAGAAACATCTTGCGGATCCTTCTGCAAAGTCCTGGTGTAACAGGGCACGCCACATGTTGGACAGGTCCAGAACTGCTCCTTTTCCAGGGCTCTCCAGTGGCCCCAGATTACCCTGAAGCTTTTGGCTCTCCACTTCTTAAAAAAATGAATCCCAGATCCTGTGCCACTGAGATGCAAGTCTACAGCTGCTAATCATTTCCCTTCAGGATTAGTTGAGCCCGCTCCACTTCCGCCTAGGGGCCAGGCACATATGAAAAGGCTGGACAGCTTTCCGTGGTTGACAGGAGCTCTGTGCAAGGAGCTGATTTTCATGCTGGCATATTCCAAGGGCTGGTGTGGCCCCATCAGTGGCTAACAGAGGAACAGAAAGGGAAGAAAGGGATAGCCTGGCATGAGGAGGGTTGAATTTGGGTGCCAGGTAGATGATTAACAGCTGGCTGAGGGAGAAGTGGGGAAAGAGATGGCTCTCAGCTAGACCAGTGTTGCTCAGACTTCACCAACAAGGGATACTGAGAGGGGAATGGGGCAGGAGAGCTGGGGGTGGTGAGGGTTAGTAACTCCAAGACCTGCACAAAACCACCCACTCAGTGCCACAAGGGAGCTGGATATGGCAGAAGTGCAGGCTGGGCTTAGATAAGCAGACAGGAGATGTACTGTACTGTCCTGGTTTGTAACACTTGCTTTATTGAGCACCGCTAACCTGGGCAGGCTGGCAGCTCCTGCCAAATGACAGGCCGTGCCTCTGTCTTAGCACCATTTTCTTGTGTTGTGCTTACAGAGGCACACAGAGCCCCCTGTGAGCACTGCGTAAGCTTTTCCCTTCCTGAGCAGAGGACAGATGCTAACCTACCCCCAAGTGCACAGCTTTAGCTCTGCAGCTTAGCTTTGCCTTCAGCACTGGCACAGCGTGATCCTGCCAACTATGTACATTCCCAGGTTGCTAAATCCTCTCTTTGTCCTGAAGAGGCTCTGGCAGCACTAGGGCTTGCGGCCCCACAGCTCTGCTAGCTTGCCCAGTGCATCCAGCTCACCCTGTCCTATCCTCCTCAATGCTTTACTGGAAGACCTTGTCAGGCAGCTGGGGAGGGCTGTCTGCCCCTGAGGAGGCACCAGGCTGGACCAATTTTGTCACCTCCATCTTGTGGGCTGTTAGAGGTGCTCAGTTGTGTCCACACTGCACGGTGCTGGTTTCTCAGTCTCCTTGGGTCCCTCCAGCACAGCCCTCCCAGCCCATGTCTCACTACTGGTTCATCAGCATGGCCAACACCTCATCGCCCACTGCCATGAGGTTCTGCCAAAGTTGTGCTATAGTAGACAAATCCGTGCAGTGAGGAAGACAAACCTGGACTGCAGGGCAGGCAGGACTTCTGTGTCCCCTCTCTAGACCTTTCTGCACACGTAGGTGGCATTTCACATCACCACCATAAATTCAGCTCTCCCTTCTACGCCTTGTTCTAGGCACCAGCTCAGTGTTTGCACACAGTAGGATGCTTCCCCTCCCCACCAGAAAAACAATTCTCCAGAATCAGGGCAAATGGTGATGCGTCCCACGGGCTGCCTCCAACCACCATCATACAGTCATACATGACCAACCACCTCCTTCGTTGGAAAGGCATGGGAAGGTGGAGAAGTAGCCCTGTCCTGAAATCAGTATTGCTCTAGAGCACCCCCAAAAATATGTCATAGGCTGGCAAAGAAGAAAGATGCTTCTTGGAACCACATGTATTTCGAAAGTTGTGGATGGGGGAGAACAGCTTGGTTTTCCTGGGACTTCCAACACTTTTCTTGGAGGAATGACTTATCTTTTACAAAGAATTTCTTACTTCATGGTACCCCTCTCTTTCTTCCCCCACAACAAGCATGTGCTTCACCCACAAGTCATCTCCTGACTGTCACATAGACTATCAGCTGCTCTTCTTGACCAAGGGCCTGTAGTATGCTTACCCTGACAGAGCCTTGATCTTTCATTAGAGAATCAGAATATGAACACCTCCAATTCACAGCCCAGTGTCTCACAGGTAGGAAAAATACAACAGGAAGACCAGGCACATTTTCCTTGCCTCATTTCCACCAATTACTCACAGTTCTATCTTCCTTTATTATGCTGAATAATTTCTCTTCACTCTTCAAATATTTGGAGGCCAGGATCCTGCTACTAATCAATCATCCTTTAGGCAGGCTAGATTTTGCTTTTGTAATGTTTTTCTATATAGTAGCTCCAGCCTCCTAATCATCTTTGTTGCTGTTCTTTGAGCTGCTTCTTGTTTGTCACGATTTTTCTGGTAATGCGGTTCCTGGAAGAAGGCGCAATATTCCAGGCACAGGAGCCCTGTGTATCCCATTGCATGTGTGATGTTGCCCTCAGGTGGTTACTCCAGAGAGAAGATTCAGCTTTAAAAAAAAGGTCCTGTATCTTCAGGACAGATATTTGTAACCACATGGGAGCTGTGGAAAGGATAACCCTTCACTCTCTTAAGTGATGCATTTGCAACAGAAACCAGGATTACACTGTCTTTTTTCTGGCTGTCCATCCTGAGCTCTAGCTCTCTGCATTTGAAGTGTATTTCCCCCTGTGGATGCTGCTGTGCTTAAAGAACAGCAAGGAGAATCCCAGCTTTAGTGAGCTGTGCAAAGCTGAACGGGAATCCTGAGGCAAGAGGCAGAAGAACTGACAGACTTTCACCATCAGCAACTTTATTAATACTAATTTTATTACTACAGCTACTTGTCTTAGTCACATATTTCAGCAGTTCTTTTTGTCTCAAAATTGTATATGGCATAAAATTAAGAATTACCACCAGGTGTTGTGTAACCCCTAAGTTACAATGCATATAAAGTCATGGAAGGTGCTCAGAAAGAGATAGGAGTCTTTATTAAAGGTCAAAGTAGAAACTTATTGTGCTTATCTCTCCTCTAACTCAACTCATCACAAAGCTAAATCGTCCTGCTCACTCGTTCCCTTCTCCCACCACAGCCTCCACTGTCCCGGTAACTATGGTGCTGTTTTATTTTCTGCCTTTTCTATTCTTCTCTGCCCCTTTGTTGAGGAAGTGGTCACACTTAACACTGATTTCAAGGTGGAGATACACAACTGATTTATTTAGGAATTATTATGGTCATAATTATGACCTATGTAATACATGACATCTTATTTTGGTTTTGCTTTGCTCTGCATTGAGCTTCCTCTCTCAACACTGCACTATCCACAGTGGTGCCCAGAGCTTTTCCCTGAGATCAGCTCTAATTCAGAATTTTTCATTTAAATATTAGGTAAATGAAATATTTTTTTCCAGCTTCCCTTAACTTATACTGGCATACAGAGAGCTCCATCTGCCATCACTTTGTCCCACGTTTGGTTCATCTCTGCTCCCACTGAATGCAAATGCCAAAACATGCCTCGGGTTTAAAAGGGGCAGCCTTTACTACGGCCTTCTGAAGTTTTTGCCAATCATTCTGTATCTTACATAGATTTGGTCACCTCACTGCACACTTCATCTTCTGGATGCGGTGCAAAAGTAAGCTGTGGTCTCACTAATGGCGCTGAAGATTTTGCCGTTGTAATCAAAGGAGCTGGGCTGGATCATTCTTGGCTACTGTACGTCTCAGGGCTGATCGTGGGGGATGACGCCCTGCAGCTCCTGTCAACGCAACGCTGCTAAGAAAAGGATGCTTTCTCCTATGGTTCCTTTCACCGCTTCCTGCAGAACCAATGCTTGTACAACCACTTGGTGTGTCTATAGGGGCAGCCTCTCGGTAACTTTTTGATCTGTTTGCTGATTTCAACAACTTCAGCAAGCAGAGATTTCAGAAATAGTTCTGAAAGCTGTTTCTACATGTTTCATGAAAACTGATTGCTTTGGGAACTGCAGGGGGAATTTCATAAACGTACCTGGAAAAAACAAAGTCTTAGAACAATTCGGTTAGAAAGTTTTTGTGTGTTCGTACTTGCAAAAAACAAATTCTTTGTATTTGCAAATAATAGCTGTATTTTGCAAATACATCTAGGAAATGAGGCTTCATTAGTTCCACTGCCTGTGGAACGGTTTATTAATCTTTGGCAAGGATTTATCCTGCAAGCTGTTGTCGCCAAGTTTTCTTAATAGCTACTTGCAAAGGGCTTTATCCTTGTACCTTTGGGAAGGGCCAGTCAGTTACGTATGCTGGGATTTTGCTTAGATAAGTCTTTCCAAGAATGCTGAAAAGCTGGAGGAGACAAAAAAATATACTTACAGACTTGTTGCTAGAGCCTTGTTTACCATTTTCAGACTGATATCTGAATATATGATACCTAATTATTTTCCCAGCTGCATTTGTGGGTCCTCATATAAGGCTCAAGGTCCACAGTGCTATTTTCTTTAGATGACACGTCAGCAGTGCTGTTATTACATTATAGTGAAACATCCCTGGTTTTCCAGACTAGCTGTTTTTAATGAAAAATGAAAATCATATCCTTATGTTAGAAGTTCAGCTGATTCAGTCTTCATTTTCTTAACATCTCTGGACCTGGAGAGTTTCTTCATATTACTGTTGTTGTTGTTGTTATACAATGTAGGCATAACAACTAATAATGGACGGTAGAAAAAACCATGAGAGAGTAAATAACTATTCAGAAAGGAGGCCACAGAAATATTTCCAAATAGCTAGCACAGTTCCCAAGAAGGGAGAAAATTATGCACAGGATCAGAGCAGAAAACCTTCCAAAATTTCCAGTGAACTGAACTCATCATGAGACAGACTTCTCAAAAACCACGTCTCCTCTTGCACATTTCTTCAGGCCTGCAAAGGGGAGCTCACATGCTCCAGCAGCCCCTTGGCTGCCTCCCGTACCAATCATGGGAGCTCTGTGGGTGCCTAACGCTCAGCTGATGTCTCTGCAAAACCCATGCTTAGATTTGGGCTTCTCCTTTTCCCCCCGACGCCCTTCTTTGTAAGGGCTCGTTTCAGGAAGTTGTCTGTGCAGAGCTATGGCAGAGGAACTGGAAGGAGAAAACTTGCCCCTCTCCTGCAATGCACCTACGCCTCACAGCCTCTGAGCCCTGATGCCCACCAAAAACAAGACCAGGAGGTTGCCATGATAAGGTTGGAGAAAAGGAACTTGGGATCTGGCCTGTGGTAATAGTTACTATTACAGGCTCCTGAGCAGTGGTCATTGTTATTGAGAAGGATGGAGATAATTTTCTGCCATTTCATTTCGCCTCAGCCAAACACGGTCATTTTCCTTTTTAGAGCTTTTTTTGTTAAACTAAATAAATTATTGAGTGTAGACCCCCTACGCATACTGATTTATCTGCAACCCTTTGTTGTAGATAAGGCCTTTGTTTCCGCCACCAATGCTTCTGTCGCTACAGTAATGACAAAACACCCAGGATATTCTTTTCCATAAGTTATTTGTATCTATATTGTCCTACAGATCTTAAGAATAGTCTCTCCCTCAAGTGCCTTTGGCCAGCTGCATCCTTTTTTTTTTAATGATTCTTGCTTTCTTTGCAAGATGACAATTTTACATGGCTTGGAGCAACAGTTGCAGGGGACATACAACGCACTCCTAAGACTTTAAGGCAGCAGAAATGGCATAACTGACCAGGGTTTAAAGTTGTACCTGTACTGATTGTATGGAGTTCCCTTTTGTATAAAAACTCCTCATGTCCCATGGCTGCTGGGCTCCTGGGTTAGCTGAGCCAAGCCCACAAGCCTCCGCCACCCTCACTTACCAAAACGCCAGCAATGTGTCCAAACCCAAGAGGCCTCGGTCTCACATTACGCTCCAGGATTAACGCTCCTACTGGGCAGCATAGCAGGACCCGTATCCCAGAGCACAGAAAGGACCCATCCACCCAGCTTTCAGTGTCTCACATTACGCTCCAGGATTAACGCTCCTACTGGGCAGCATAGCAGGACCCGTATCCCAGAGCATGGAAAGGACCCATGCACCCAGCTTTCAGTGCATGGCCCGACGCACATGCGGGGACCATCACGTTTTGTGCATCGAGGCACTGAGCGCAAGCTCCCAGCGCCCACTGCCTGCCTCCCATCACCAGTATCCCCAAGATTATCCCCGGGGTATCAGTGACCTAAATACACTGTTTTGGACTTGAAAGTTGCTTTTGTTTTTAATGTTGCTGAATCTCTAAAACCAGCACATGTAACAAACTGCCTGTTTCCAAGCAGCTGTTGTGTAACTTTGCTCCCCACCCCCAGAGATGTTGCCTGCCATTCGTTTAATGGGTTCAGTTTCACTGGGAAGTGCCTGGGGGAACCTCTTAGCTCCCTAATTAGCAACAGAAGGGGCCAGTCCTTGCTGGAGGTAGCAGTGAAACATTTGTGAGGTCTCCTGAGAATAAGGGAGGCAGAGAAGGGGCCATTTCCAGCTGGGAAAACACTAACTTTTATTCAGCGTACAGTGCACAGCAGAGGACTAAAGAGAAGGTGTGGGGGGAAGGTACTTGCAGAAATGATGATGGGCTTTCTAGACAAGAAAGAAGCATTTGTGAAGGGGGAGGAGGGGATAGGAGAAATTGTCCCTGGCCCTCCCAAGTTGTTCATTGCTCCTGCAATCTGAGTTTTATGTAAGATACCATGGAACAGCACAGAGGCCTCATGGGCTGCCTGCCAATGGAGGCAGGAGCAAGGTGTTGCTGCGATCTGCTCTCAGACGTTTGAGCTAGCTCTTGTTAATAAGATTCAGGTATTAACAGCTTGGAAGCGCTTAGGAGCTCAGTGTTTCCTCCAGGGACGTGATCACTGAGGCTGAGCACAGAGCGTCCCATTCAGGGCTGGCATAGATTTTGGTGCAAAACAAATCTCCCGCCAACCAGCTGAATGTCCTGAGACCTCACTGGGAAGGTGAGAGCTTTGCCCGTCCATTGCGGGTAGGGTGGTGTGCTTGGGGCTATTCCTTAATGCCCAGGATACAGCCACACGTGGTAAACTCTCCAATTTTTCCCATGTGATCCCATTTCTGGGCAGTGCTTTTTTCATACAATACCTATTGAGAAGAGTTACATGCGCATGGACAGTCCCAGCTTGGATCTGTTGGACCGTGGGGACCATTTCCCTTCAGAAATCAGGCAGGGAAATACAGCATTCAGTATCTTCGGCCTGTGGGAGCAAAGGTCCAGTGAAGCAAATGAAAGCCTCGTTCGTTAGCCTTAAGGACTTTACTTAAAAGCAAAGAAAGAAGGTAAAGTTCAAAGACAGAGTGATACCATGGGGCGAGCAGGGTTGCAGGAGCCTGGAGGAGAACAGGGGAGATCTGAAGCTTCCAGATATTGCCCTACCCTGCAACATCACCAGCAAGCAGCTCTTTGGTAGCGGCCACTGACCAAACAAAAAAGAGCGCGCTGGTCCCTGGTGTAAGTCAGGAGACCATATTCATAAAGTTCCCCTGTTATTGAGCACCATTTACTCTCTAGTAATCATCTTGAAACAATGAACTTGATTTTGTGCATACGAAAGGCAAATTATGCGACAAAGTCTTCATGCTGTAAAATGAAGGGCAGAGCGTTACAGCCGGGGCCATAAATCCCAGCAAGGGGCTTGCAATGGCTCTAAAGATCAGAATAATAATTTCCAAGTTGCCACAGCATCTCAAGCTATAAAAGAGCTGTGTTCAAAGCTTCTGCGCTCCACTCTTACCTCTGTTCACTAGCTCATTTCATAACCAGAAGTCACCAGCTTTCCTCTCCATGTCTCAGGTTTCATTATTAATGGTATTGATGAGGCTTGGGTTATGATTACATGCAATGGGCAATGAGAAAAACCAGAAAGTCCAAAATAGAAAAAAAGCCCAAATAGAAAAAGAAAAAAAAAAAAGTGATATTACATGTACTGCAAGCTCCTCTTTCCCACTAGAGGGCACCCAGTATTTGCAAAACTGCTGCTCGGCCTTTGGGTGCTTTCTCCAGCAGCACCCTACGCCAGCGCTAGCAAATAGGCCTGGCAGAGCAGGCAGGTTATGTTGTGTGTGGCTCCTCCTGCTTGTATCCAGCTGCTAAACCAGCTGAAAAAATACATTACGGTAACATTTCCATGTGCACATTTCCTATCATTGCTGCAGGGGTGATCCTGCAGATCAGTGACGAGCAATAGAAAAACATAGGAAACAAGCTCTCCGTTAGTATGTGATTTGTGCGATGAAAATGTATGAAATCCCTTTATAAAATGATGCCAGTCCTAAAGGGACTGTGGGATGGCTGCAATTGGAAGCTTAGACAGAAATGCAATAATGATATACAGCATATCAAATATTATTATTTCTGCGGGTTTTCCCCCATGCCAGAATAGCAGCTGAACCAGCAAAATCACAGCACTGGGACAGAAGCAGAAAACTTTTTAATGGTGCTCCGAGGAGGCTTTTTAAAAACGGGTGTGCTAAGACATCTGTCATTAAGGATAAGGGATCCTGCCCCAGTGCAGGGAGATGCTCTGAGATACCTTTGCAGTCCTTTCCTGTGGGGTACTGGTTGACAGCCGGCTGAATATGAGCCAGCAGTGTGCCCAGGTGGCCAAGAAGCCCAATGGCATCCTGGCCTGTATCAGGAATGGTGTGGCCAGCAGGAGCAGGGCAGTGATCGTGCCCCTGTAC